AAAATGCTCTTTCCTAGTAATTCAGGCCTTTGCTCCTCCTTTAAACTAAGATTTTTTACATCATCTGACATCAAATTAAGACTAGAATCACTGCCCTGATAATTAACCCTATTTAAGTCTGAACCATGACCCTTAAGGACGTCAAAAGGCACTTGCTTGACAATAGGGAATTCTTCGTTAACATAGACGAACTTTCAGCCTGATCTCCTTCGACGATTAACTGGCATTATAAGCGACACGACCAATTATTTCCAGAAAATCCGTGAACGATTACCAAAGGATTTCGGCCAAGTAATATTTGTTTAGAACTGTAGGATCCAAACTACGGTTTAGATGTTGAAGAATAGCCGACCGGGGACTTTAGACACGCGCCCTTTCCCGTCGAAATCAAAACAAGTTATCGGGTAAATAGTGGTTCTATAATTCATCATAAATTTAAATGTAAATCATTACCTAAACAAATATTACCACCCGGCTATTCAACCAATGATTGTTCAATCAATTAAATCTAAATTACAGTAAATAAAGAAGTTGGTAGAAGATGAGGAAAAATTACCAATCACAACAAATCAACGTTATTCTATCCTGGCTGGATAGATCACACACAACAGGAGGAACAAATCAATATGGCTACCGCCAAGAACAAGTGTCAAGTAAAACAACGCAGATGCAGTTCAGGAAGAAACACAAACTTAGTGAATGCGTAATAAAAACAAAAACTATAACAAAAATACAAATATTAACAATTCAAATGTAATCAAAATACAACAATGTACAACTAATGCGATCAATAGGAATAAAGTACAAGTATATACATGGAGGGATTTTCACCAACACATAAAACCTTCAAAATGGATCTTACACTACTTTGTTTTGATTTCCGAGAAAATAAACCAAATCAGGTTGAACTGTATGTGTCCAGTGTTAATATTGTCTACACTTATTTTGTGACGTTGCTATGTGTGTAATATTATACATTAAGAGAGTTTAGAAAAATGAGCTGACGCATTCACACACTTGTGTTTGTGAACCTTGCAACACTATCAGAACAAAAGGAGTGTCAGTAAAACCCGACATCATACACAACAAACACTACATCAAAATATTCCTTCTAAAGATCAAACATGACTTTGATCACAGTGATGTAGTCAAATATCTAATAAAATATTCGGAAAACCCTTATATTAGCAACAACAATATTCACCTTTCTTAATATTCACTGCTGTTACTTTTAAATGTCATGTTGGAATACTGTGAGATTTAAAAACATGTTTGTGAACATCTCAAATTTTGCCATTCCTTCAATATTAACTTTGTGTTCTTGCATTTGTTTGTAACCTGCTGTTAAATTCAGAATTTCTCGAATTTCGGCGGATCCGTGCCACTAGTGCTCGTAGCCACTCTCCTATTGGTTCAAATACATCAAAATACGATGATGGTCAAGAACCGTCCTATAATAATGTGACAAACAATCAATTAGATGAGGAATAAAAGTGAACGTAAACATTTAACCAAATCTTCCTGGAAAATTCACTTTCAATTTGGTACAAATGTCTGGTTAAGCCTAGCTGTTACAACAGGAAGAATATTCCTATCAATCAAGGAATGATATCCTACACAAAGAAAAGGTATAGGTTGGTTTTCTTTCCTCCAATGATGGGCGATCGGCTATAAAATGATAGTTATACATGAAATACAACCAGTTACAGGTTATCACTTGTATAAGTTACCAAAACAAGCAAGGAATGCGCTTTAATATCTGTAATAGAAAGAGGAGACCGTTAGTTTACGCTGTCATAACGAAAGCACAGTAATCTAATTTAATTAGCCCCAAAAAGTAGTGATAAACAAAACAAAAGTGAAACAGTTATTGAAAACTCGGCGACACCGATGATTAAGTTGATTTCGGAATCTGTAGGCACTAAAGAGATAAAATAAATGTAAAGGGATCGAAAAATTTAATACGTAATATACATAATTGCAGAAGGCCAGAGAAAAAGCGTTACATACGGAGAAGAACAAAAACGTTGCCACTTGGAGACAATGATTGGGGGATTTTCACTCATATATATGCACATTCGTTCAAGGATTGTCTTAAACCTACATTTAACTGGATATCCTAACACTCATGGTAGACTCTTGAGGAAAGCGAAATCGTCCACAAAATTAACACAGCGACACTAGGCCAAAGAAAGCTGAAAACTGGCCATACAAACGTTTCATTCCAGGTTACGGAGCCTCTACTTTACATCCTGTTACCAACACATAGTGACTCTTAAACATCGATGGAGCCACCTTATATTCTTTTAATCAGGACACCAAAACAATCGCCCATGCAGGCAGAAAAAAACTGTTGTTGTATTGGAAAATACAGCAATGTCACAGTATTTTAAGACAAAACATTTTCTGTACGATTCGGCTACATAACTTATCCTAGGACATCTGTTGTTAGAAAAAATCATTAAGGGTGGAAATCGATTTCGAAGACAGAGTCACCATGACTTCTCATTGTCTCTATAGAATCACCGTCTACTTCGGTATTGATACTACTTTAATAATATAATTAATCCCAAAATCATAGATTTGTCCTGATATGAGATCCAACGTTGAAGTCACGGCATTATCTACAATGACTCGTCCTATCGTGATAATGAGCAGTATGGCTAGTAGCAGCTTTCGAGAATATATTTGAGCTGGAAAGAGAGTAATGCATTAGATAAAGTAATCGGGAGGTTATATGACTGTGCTTTCATGACGATATTTAATAAAACTAATAATATATGAATTGCTATCAAAAATGCTTTTATTAGGTGAAAATAGCTATAATTATATGAATTTTGGACAGATTGCTAACAGCAGTTCGTTGAGCGCTAGTGTAACCGTGAATGACGTGCCCTGAAATCAATTATTTGATGCGCACAAAACTGGTTATCTATATTCATACTTATCGGCTCATGGTGCATACAGGTTAGTTGCAAGTTTCGAGTTTAGCATGAGGTAGGAAACGAATTAACCCTTGCTGTGCAGCTTGGGTGTTTCGCTGATTCCGAGAACCGTCAAATTACATCTTGCCATTTCCGTTGCTATATGACTAGTCTACCCAAACTCCCACACTGCCTGAACGTTCCATGTAAGTATATCAGTTGTTGCTCTGGTTGTTAGAAGGGGTATAGGTCTCGTGATTTTCAGAACATCTCGGCTTTCAACAAGAGGCGACACAATTCTTCTGAATGAAGGTCCTTCAACCCGGAGGGCAGAGTTTAAACTGTTTTTCCCCCTTAGCATTTTTTGGCAAGGTTTTTTTTCCATGGTATGGGGTTGCTGACCCTATGTCCAACCCTGCTCCTTTACCCGAACTTGGAACCGGTAGTAGCCCTAGCAGAACTATAGGGTTATTTGTAAACGCAGCTAATACCTGTTAATAGACCATAGTGGCTAAATATGAATATAGATGACCAGTTATTGGCATCGATCGATCCAGTAATCTATAATAACTAATCACCATTACAATACAACAATACACATGAGCATTAATTAACGAATTAATAACATAACGGGTTGAAGAAAAGATCAACAGATTAAGTTAAAGTGAATATGAGAACTAATAAAAGGTTAAGTCCTTTCAGTCGGTTTCACCGATGTAGGATTTAACCTAATTCAGTATTGCTACATTTATCTTTGTCACCATATTCATACACAGTCCCAAAATTGTAGATTTGTCATGACGTGACTACCTATTCCATAAGATCTTACGTTGAAACCACATCACTGTTTATTCAGACTCATCGTGTCGTGAGTCAGCAATACGATGTTTAGTACTTTTGGGGATAAGATTATATATCTTAATATAATCAGGGATGAGTTACACATTTGGCGACGCCTGCAAGCCTGAGCCATGCTACACCGATCAATTGTTCCCGCGTCCACCATTTTTGACTTTCTTTAAGTGTTACCTGGTGAATGTAAATTATTAATTATATGCTCGGCTTCAAAGATCATGTGGTTAGGAACCGATACCACTAAAACAACTCCTGTTTGGCTCAGTCCTCTAAACCCATGACCTGGCTACGTGCTATGCAGTAAACCTAGAGGCCGAATAAAAGCTTTCTTGCCAACACTGAATTCACAGGTAGGCGAAAGAATAGAATGAACGTAGGCATCAAGGCTACCAAAAGTATCACCCCATTCGAGAGACCGAATAATAAGTGTTAGTCATCATTAGCTTTACCGTCCATGCAACCAGTTTTTCGTGATTGTAATGCGTTCAGCTTAGCAGACTAAGTTGGGTGTAGTTTAGTGTTATTTCACCGACGCTATAGTCTGGATAAGGTGGTCGAATGACGTCATAAAGCAGTTTGGTTGAAATAAGCCTATGTAGAAAGGGACTTTGATATATGTCAATGTTCTACTATCAAAAACTTGGTAAAGGCATCAAAAAACGTAAATGTCCGACCACTTTAGGTTTTTTATAGTTCATATAAGATCATACCCATTCCCTTAATAATTTATTTGCTCCAGGCCCGAAAAATCATTATGAGATCATCTTGACGTTTGCTCGAACACATGGATGAGATAAGTCATGGATTATTCACCTAGTCAGACAGATCGGTTCCAGCCTGGATTCGACAGTCTGAGATGAAACGTTGTGGCTGAGAGGTTTGTCCAATTTTCCACCTTGAATAGGTTCAGCAAAGTTGAAGCCTCCGTAAATTTTCAGACATCTTAATCCGGATTATTCTTCCTTATGACTCTATCGTTGCTGAACCAAGCACATGTACTTTTTAGGTGAACAGAAAGGTTTTGAGAAATTTTCGTTGTCTTTTAAGTTGTTGTAAGGTTACCACAAACCTAAAAATGGTGGTACTGAACCATAGGCGTTTGATACATCCAGCAGAGTATGGTGTCTTCATGTGTCAGTAACTGAAACCATCGAAAAACAATTGTGAAGGAAGTACGAATACTGAGGATTCGTACTACTATGCTATTAGTCTTTTCCATATTTCATTTGTCAAACTGTTTTATTGTTCAAACGTTGTGATTCAGTGTGTGACTTTTATGAATTGATGCGTTGCAGTGTTTTGGAATGTTATGTAGGGTTTCTGTATTATTTTGCCTTTAATTCAAGGGATCTACTAGGTGTACGATCAACGTGTTTTAAGTGTGGGCCATGCAGACCAAAATGGATGAAAATGGTTGATAATTTGTATTCTGGCAGCCTTCAGGTTTGCTTGAAATGTTATTTTTGTATGTCGCGAATTTTTAGGATACTAATAACCATAATAAACTCATACATTATTGCTTACACCAGCCTGATAAGCTGGACCGAATTGCCAAGTACTTGCACCTGAGACTCTCACAGGATCTCAGTAGGCGTTATGATCAGTAAGCTTGTTTGATGTTTATTTCCCCAAGAAATATATCGATATCCGTCAAAGCTATTGACAAACTAATCCAAGTTTGTCATGGTCACAGACTAGTTCTGGCTATTAGTTTTTTGAAAATGATTCAACTACTTCTGGAGACTAATCGCATGGACCTACAAATAATGGCGTCTAAGTCGGCAAGTCACCAATCCTTTTTTGGTTAATTTGGGTGAAGTTTGTAGAGTTTTCTAAGATAGACGATGATTCTCCTAACTATCACAAGGAATGTAATGAGATTCTTGACCATTTTGCTGCTATGGCTCACGCATCTTTTCTCAACCCACAAGAGCGTAATGCGTAAGTCCCCATTAATTTTCTCAAGTGCTTCCAGTGTCAGAGTGGCAGGTATACAAGGAATCCAAGGTGTTGTTCGTAAAATGGTCAGTGATCAACTGATACTGGAAGTTCACGAGTCGAATATGGACAAAATCGTACTTCCACTCCTATTCAATATGTGTGATAAGTAAGATATCAAAGCAAATTGTCTGATTACAATTTAAAATTTGAGAGCTTGACTGTCTATTGACTTTTCATGAAACAGTTTATCAAACATGATTTTTCGATTTCCGGGTATTCATTTCAATACTTAATCTTAATGCCCGACCGAAGCTGCGGTGGTCGGGCTTGCCTATCGTGATGACCCAACCGAGCTATATTGGCTGGAACATATGTTCCTGTAGGCTCTACCGCGCCAGGCAGGTCGATTGAAGAACGGTAAGACTAAAAGCAGCAACTCAAGGTCTGAGGGCGAAGTCGTACTGCTGACTGTAGAGGGGTGTGACAGCAGTAAGGTGTTTCCCTCAGACAACCAGCATATGCAGCGACGCTGCCTTCCCACAAGGAGGGATGGGGTTAGAAAAGGTCGACCCTAAAATTGTCACACCTCACCTTACCTCACGGATTTCCGTCTCCGGCAGTAAGGCCCTTTGAAGAACGGAGCTAACACGTCAAAAACCTCCAACGAAAAGGCCGTGCGCGACCGGCCTCAAGCAGTTGTCCCTTGGGCTCTGTGGTCACGCTCTTAGGTCGTTAAGACCAACACTAATCCAATTTCGTTTTCAGGTTCCTCAAGAAATACCCTTCCATGGTGTGGGCAGCCGAGAAGTGATATCAGCCCTCATATCCTTAACAGCACACGGGACCAAGTTGGTCACATTCAAATCCTTCCTACACCTAATACCTCTCTTATCTCCATGACTAACCCTCCTCACGTATCTTTATCACCTCGCACCTCTAGGGCAAACGATTCGAGTACGCGGAACGCTATTCCTGGTCTCCTGAAACCACGCTCTAAACTACACGTAGGAGCTTTTAACGTCCGAACACTGTGCCAAATAGGACAGCAGGCTTCCTTAGCTAAGACTTTAGAATCCCGCGTCATCGATGTGTGCTGCGTCTCCAAAACGCGCATACAGGATCCGAGTAGTGACACCATGCCAAAATAAAGAACCGACTCGGTTCACACTTCGTGTATCTGGAAGCTCTGATTCTGCTTCCCGTGGCCTTGCCGGCGTAGGTATAGCATTGAGTCCTAGGGCAGAGCTAGCTCTCTCAGTGTGGATCCCAGCAGACAGTCGTTTGTGCGCTGTCCGACTGAACGGAACAGTAAGGATCCGAAAAGATAGGGACACTCGTCGTTGCTTCTTCGTCGTCTCTGCCTATTCTCCTACTGACTGCAGTGCACATGATGTAAAAGATGAGTTTTACAGAAAGCTCTCCGACCTTCTCCGAAAAGCTAGGCGCTCGGATGTAGTAATAGTGGCTGGTGACCTTAATGCTCATGTAGGTAAACTAAGCGATAGGGAAAGACACCTGGGTGGATCCTATAGCATCGTGGCTCAAAGAACAGATAATGGCGACCGTCTGTTTCAGCTATGTTCAGATAACCGCCTGTTCCTTGCATAAGGAAAAACATCTTTTGACATGGCGACCCCCTAAGTCGTCCCAACGTTGGACCCAAATAGATCACATCGCTATCAGCCACCGATAGAGGAGCTCGATAGAAGACTGTCGCTCATCCTGGAGCACATGCTTAGATTTAGATCATGCTCTAGTACGAGCGAGTATTTGCCTGCGTCTTACTGGACGTAGGAAAAACGCTGCAAGGGAACCTCTTAGGGCCTTACTTAATGATAGTCAAGCTAAGAGTATATTTCAGGAACAACTAGAAAAACAGTTAGGCAGCCATGTATGTGATGCCCACCCCGAGGCAGCATGGGATGATATCCGAAAAGCTATGGAAACAGCAGTGATATCTGCTAGTAAGGTAAACCATAAGGCTAGGGAGAAACACTGGATTTCAGCAGCATCTACTGCACTGATAGATGTTCAAAAACCCATTTCATATGGCTCTGAACATAACGAAGAGCTGAGTCAGCCCATGCGCAAGCTGACAGGAAGACTACGCAATGATCGTGAACAGTGGTGGGTAGCGAAAGCAAGAGAGATGGAAAAGGCAGCGGCGATAGGTAATAGCAGACAATTGTTCAGACTTGTTAAGGAAACCAGTATTAGGAAACCGACTGTTAGCGAAACACTCTCAGAGAAAGATGAACATATTATGCGTTCTCAATCCAGGAGATTGGATCAATGGGCAGAACACGTTAGGGTTCAGTTCAACTGGCCTTCAACCACACTTCGGTTTCCCAAGATCTCCGGTCGACCTGAATGGCAAGTTAATGTAGGTCCTCCGTCTCTTTACGAAGTTGAAAAAGCCATAGGAAATCTGAAGTGAGGGAGAGCAGCAGGCCCTGACAGGTTCACCCCTGAGATTTTTAAGGATGGTGATCCAGTATTAGCAGTGAGATTGACTGAGGTCTTGGGTAGAATTTGGGGACTGGACGTAATCCCATCTGACTCATCTCAATCACTGATTGTGCCAGTCTATAAAAAAGGACAAAAGTCCTCTTGTGACAATCACAGAGGAATCAGTTTGACAAATATAGTGTCTAAAATATTGGCTTCAATAATACTTCGACGCCTAACCAAAGCTCGTGAAGAACAAATTAGAGAAAATCAGGCTGGTTTTCGACCTGGACTTGGTTGTATAGATCAGATATTCACACTACGTCAGGTTCTAGAACACAGACACACATTCAGACGCCCCACAATGGTAGTATTTCTCGACCTTAAGGCGGCATTCGACTCTGTTGATCGTGAGGTTCTATGGCAATGTTTGTCACTGAAAGGAGTATTAAAGAAGTACATTAACCTTATAAAGGCTCTCTACTCGAACACAACTGGTAGAGTGAGAGCTTATGGCGAACTGTCATCAGAATTGATTACCTCAAGTGGTGTTCGTCAGGGCTGTCCACTCTCCCCATTCTTGTTCAACTTTGTGGTCGATGTACTTTTCGAGATAACAATCTCCTCATCTAAATTTCCTGGGGTTGAACTTCTATCGGGAGGTTCACTTGTTGACTTAGAATATGCTGATGACATAGTTTTATTTGGTGAAGACGCTGACAAAATGCAGAGTCTTCTGACCACTCTAAGCAACAATGCAGGCATGTTCGGAATGCGATTCTCCCCCTCGAAATGCAAAATGTTGCTTCAGGATTGGGTTACATCGACACCCGAACTAGTGATAGGGAGTGAAGTAGTTGAGTGTGTCGACCGCTTCACTTATCTTGGAAGTCTCATCAGCCCTTGTGGTCTGGTGTGTGACGAAATCTCAGCACGGATAGAGAAGGCTCGACTAGCTTTTACCAACTTGCGTCATTTATGGCGTAGGCGAGATATCCGTCTATCAACCAAAGGACGGGTTTACTGCACAGCAGTTCATTCCGTCCTACTTTATGGCAGTGAAACATGGCCGATAAGAGTAGAGGATATTCGCAGGTTACTAGTATTCGATCATAGGTGCATTCGAAGCATTGCTACGAGTAAGTAATGCAGTTGTTAGGAAACGGGTACTAGGTAAGGATGGCAAATCAATTGATGAAGTGGTGAAACTTCATCAGTTGAGATGGCTGAGACACGTGTTACGTGTGCCCAACGACCGACTGCCTCGATGTGCGATGTTTTGTTGTATCGGAGTAGATTGGAAGAAAGTTAGGGATGGCCAGACCAAAACATGGCACAATTCCAAGAAGTCACTGACAAGTGGTCTGAGTCATGTTGGTAGGTGCAGACTACCTGGTTGTGGACCGCGAGATGATAGCATCTGATGAATAGAGACCCTGGATGACATGGCTCAAAATCGTTTTCAATGGCACAGGAGCATCCACTCTTTGTGTTATCCCAGATTCTAATCTTCTGAATTCTCCATCTTCCTTATTTTCCTTCCAAATTTATTTCGCTGTATTATGCTCCTTGAATAACATCTTTAAGCCCTAATGTTTCCGATTACTGCTTATAATTTTACTACATCTAGAACTACGGGATTTGAATCGACCACTGCATCTCTGTGCTAATGTGGTGTGGCAACTCGAACTGATGTACGTACGTACGAGGTTCTACGTTGTTAGTGACAGACTGCTCATATTAAATGCAGTATTAGCCTACGTTTTCATTTTTCTGCCTGGGTGCCCAAACCGAAGCAGGTGGTTTCCTTAATGGGTCACACTCCGAGCCTTCGACCTAAAGGTCTAATCCACAAGGCAGTGGAGCAACGTAAGGAGATACAATCCCATGTTAGCCAGGGACCAACGATTGGTTCATAAACCATTTGTTCCTTCAGGATCCTGGAGCCCATGTGCACCATTGGTTTGAATCAGGGTTTTGTAACTCCCCTAGTTGGATCCTCCATATTCACCAACCCGGTTAAAGTGCCGGACATTCACTTTTCGTCCTCTCAATTTCGTAAACAACACCCACACCACGAGAAGGGAATGAGTGGGACTTCCCTGTCAGTGGCTTTATACACGTGACCATGTGAGAGCATTCGGAGAGGGAGAGCGAACTCTTCCCACTCTCGGCCGTACCAGGGCATTTAGGGGTATATATATATATATGTTTTCATAATCCATGATTATATCACAGGTTATATTGCAATACTTTTAAATGATATTAGTCACTATTATAAATGAGGTTTTAATTTAATCTGTTTTTTCTCCTGGAAAATTCTTGTTCCCAAGGTTTGAACTAGATTCCAATTCAAATGAATCGCAATGTGATCCTTCACAAGAAGCTGTATATGTGTTCGAAGATATTGTTAGACAAGCTTCTTATACAAATATCAAACCTGTGGTAACATCTATTTTAACGTAAGTTTGTGTTTCTTCTAAATGAATAAATAACAAGATGATTATTTGGCTTTGTATATTTAAATAACTTTTGCAGCTAGTTTTTCCCTACTTAGTAAAGCCGCGTGTGTTTGAAAGTCGGAGATATAGCTTTTATGTAGTAACATGCACACAATGTTTTAAAAATCTTAGACAACTAAATGGCACAATAGACAAAGAGTTCGAAAACGATAGAAGTACTATTCATCCAGGTCGCAGTTAAAAAGGTATTACAGAAAAAAGGTAAAATTAAGTTTCAGGCAAATAGAAAACAAGTCAATTAATCTAAAGGGTGTGGTCAGTTATTCAGTTATAAGCAGCATACAACTTGCTACATATGTACATCTGTTTAATTTGACATGCTAAATCAACAAAGTGAGATAAAAAGTTTTCTAAACAAATTCCAGAGTAATAGAAGTTGTAGACAAAGACTAGGCACAGAGAATAACAAGTGAGAAGAAAGAATCGATTTACAAAATTGAAAGGATAAAGTAATTTTGGAACTTAAATTCTGAGGGTGGATAAGGAGTGAATGCATCTAGAGCCTTGCAACCGACTTCAGTAATCGTTTGAGCCCCAAACAAGTTGTCTACATCTATCAAGATGTCTCAGGCTGACAATTAAGGACGATCTGGGGATATATAACGTCCTAGTTCATTGTATTATATATTTATTGATTGAATTACTTAGAAGACTTGTTCCAATGAATCTTGTTATGTTGTTGGATGACTTTTTACCCTCACCCATATATATGTTTATACTAATAATCCTGAATAATTTTATCTGATTAACGTTTAAACGAGATGTAGGGCTCCCTTTTGTCACCTTTTTTTGATTAAATTGTGATATTTAATCCAGGTAGCGATCAAGTCTGTAATATAATATGATCACTAATATTTCTGTCATGTTCGACAGCTAAAATTGATACAAACCATGCATACATAAATTAAATAGGTATTTGTAGCCAACCGGACATATAAGTATGAAAAAGCTTCGGCTCGCCATGTAAATAATCTTAGATGGAAAGCACAACTAGTCATACAAATATTTTGAGGTTTAGTAATTCAAAAATCATGTATCTTTCGCAATTATCGGACTGTTATGTTTATACAGACCATCAATACGATGGTTTGTTCATCGAAGAAAATTTTCTTTTCGGCTATATCATTTGCTAAAGCTGTACAATCCTATTCAAAGTGAATTAAGTTATGCGTTTCTGTCGAGAAAATGCTAATAATGACACCAAAACAAAGACATTATTAAGTTATTAAGTCGCTGACTGTCAACTAAATCACCTTGACGTGTTTGGCATATTCACTTATTAAAAAAATTATATTTTATAAAAAACAACATAAGTTTTCGTTTCCACGCAATTCTGGACCCACTAATAGCCATATCTTGGCTTTATATAGGATGGGCATTAAAAACAGGCCGAAATCCTGAGAAAAGCCCCTATTATATCGAGTTGTTCGTCTCGTATTCATTTAGAAAAGAATCGAATAAAATTAACAATAGTCATATGCTGGGAATAATAACATTTTGCAAGCGCCTTCGCTTAATTTTCTAATCCTTGGAGGGGCTGGTGGGCGCCTTGTGGTTTCCAACCTTCGATCAGGGGATCCGAAAAGGTTAATTCCTTAAGCAGTAGGTTGCATTTACTAGGATGAGCCTTTAAACTAACATCACTTAGTCACTGTAACACTAGCTGAATACGGTGAATATGTCCCTCGACGTTGTTGCTGGAAACAACAATATCATATAGATAAACCATGCACACCTTCAAAACTAAATCTTTCAGGATTGATTGCATGAGTGTTTGAAAGGTTGCAGGGGCAGTAGTTAGTCCGAAGAGTATTGTTTGAAATTCATATAACCCAGTCGGAATAAAAAGTGCCGTCTTTGCTCTGTCCTCTGGGTGTACCTCAACCTGCCAATACCCTGATTTGAATTCTAAGATTGAAAACTATGAAATGCTAACGTTTATTTCTAGGGACACTTCTCACCGATTATTCGTATAATCTTTATTGACTATTTTCTGAATTTCATGACTAAATTTGATTACATGATCACTAAATCAATGCATCATCTAAGTGGATCTTCGCCGTGTATTTGTATGTTTGATTCTATAATTATATAAAATTGGTCCATTATTCATTAGTTGACGTTTTTTGCTATCGATTTGATTGGAGTTCGTTTTTAGGATTGGTGAATATCCATTTATTTAACACAGTTTAGTTACTGACAGGTCAAGAATTATGTCAGTATTTAATAAATTACTATCTTCGAATGAAATTCATGCTAAAACACTTTTTTATTGAAAGTAAACGAATCTATGTACCGATGATTGTTGTTTTTAAATATTTTTTGTAGGCATTTAGATAATCATAAATTGTGGGATCCTTGTGATTTTCCTTTACTCATATTTCAATATCTTTTGGATTCACTCAAGGTAATAAACAAATTAATTTAAGTAGTTTTCTTTGATGGCTTTATATTTTAAAGTTTATTTTTATCTTAAATTGACACTATCTCCAGAGCTGTTCAAACCTAGGCAACACAGTTAAATGATGTTTTCACTCTGGTTTGGACACGCAGCCAGTAATCACTCAAATCTAAGACTGAGTCGAAGCCATTTCGGTGTCTCAACAAGCTTGATCAGAATTTAATACTAACATTCACAAACTAGCCGATTTGTGATAAAGTGCTATCCTTATTCAGATTCATCAGTGTAAATTATTCACTCTTGACTTAATTGGCTCCAAAAGTCACAGCTTCACAGATCAATCGTATCGTGCTCGCTGCAAGATATAAGTATCCTTGTTCTGGTCCAGTGTAAGACCATGGATAAGGACTGTCAAGGTGTCTTCATCTATTCCAAAGCAGATGCTTTGCCCTTGATTCATTCCGACTGTTTTTAAATTGTTGTCGGCTGGTGATAAAGTATTTCCTATATTTTGATGATTTTCAGTTTCTTTGAGTGTTAAAAAAGTTATTTCGGTTTTTATTTGATTTCAAATTGACGCTGAATTGATTGTTATTATTTCTTTCATAACAGATCGGCAAATATATACATCTATATATGTATACAAGTTGAGTAAATATTGAAAATACTTACGCCTACAATATTCAAAACTAACAAATATGGAAAATTAATTTTTAGTGTTATTTCTCGGCTCGTTCACAGTGTTCATTCATCATCGCCCTTTGCAATAATAAGATGTACATGTTTTTTTTTTCAGTAGTAAAAAAATATGTACATATTTGGTAATAACTCATTCCATCAAAGAAACATTTTAAAATTAATGAAATGTAATTCCATCTGTGACTGGGTCATTAGGCTGGTGACACTTAATTGAATAGTGAAAGTCAAGTTAAAGCCAGTGCTGATTTGCACGTTTCTGTTATAACTGAGAAAACTGATACTGGCAATAGGGGAAAGTGATTTTTTTTCACAATTCAAGCAAGAAGACAAAAATGGATGATTAGTGGAAATCTTATTTACACTTCAGAAACACGACAATAGCTTTAATTAAATACTCATTTAGATATATATTTTTTAGTGCTGCTTGGTAATCAGTCAATAAATACTATACTTATCTAAAGTGGTGGAGATGAATTAATACATAATGAATACTTCATGTTATACTGAATGAACACCAAAACGTAATCTATCATTTTATTTCGTCTCAATAACGTCATTTGTAGAGGTTTTGTGTGTTTATGTATTAATATCTAGCGACTTTCAACCATTAGGTTGCAAATTTGAACTCTGCAGCACCTTTTTGGCGTTTAGGTGCAGCCCGAATAATTCAGTGGTAACGTCTCAAGCAGTAAAACTGAGGGAAATGGGTTCGAATCCTTTTAGAAAGCATCAGTTCTCTGACAATTACAGGTATATCTTGCTAACGAGTACCAACCATTAAGATTCCCTAGGTCTAAGGTTTCCTGCCGATTACCTCCAGCCACATGTCATCAACACCTACTTGGGTTTGGACCGTCTGGATGGTGTTATTAGCCTTCTCGCAAAAGGTTTGGCTTTAAAGCCGAGTACTTAAACATGTACTTGGTAAATGATTTATTCGAAATGTCAAAAGTTTTGTCGTTCTTCAATTTTTCAGTAAGTGGTCAACTGACATTGCCATGTGATAAAAACCAATTTTGGATTTGTAGAGGTTATTGTTGTCGTTGTCATTTTTTCAGATTGTTATTAGTAAAATATCATAATTTAATACAAAATGTGAGTGATCTTTCTCAGCATACACTGTCTGTGGTACCTCGTATACTCAAATGACTGTCAAAGGGTTATTGTACAATATAACTCTATATTGTGTCTACTAATTATGAGTAACTCAACGTTGTATGCACATTGTTTTGATGTCAGATGATTGGAAGCGATCGGCATGAAATCTTGGACCTAAGTTTTAAAATTTTATCGACTCTGATGGTGTTACACAATGTAAACCACTGTTTATTCAGTTATTTTCGTGTCAATTGAAATGGAGATGGTTAAACTTATAGATCAATCAAGATATAACATCAATTTATAAAATCATTACCTATTGGTCTTAATTATGCAGAAAGCTGTAAGTTCTCGTGGATTAATCTGTTCAAACATCAGAAATCAATATCTGTGAGTGTTTAAAAATGTTTAAGGCCCTAAGAATTCATCTCTTTGACATGCCTCAAATTCATCTGCTTATTTAGTCTTTCATCATTTTATTTTCCATGTCTAAACACCTTACAGTGTTAACCTTTAATGCACACATTTTTTTTCAAGAAGAACTGTATCTTTCTGTTCTAGTTGCGAAAAATTCCCATGATAATTTTTGACTGTTTGGGCAGAATTTCGTTGTACTCAAGTATATCTTGTCGAATCGTCATAACCATCACTAGGACTGGTTATTCATTTTACCAGCTGGGTTATTTTGTCGAGCCATGTATTATTATTATAATCATCGTCATCATCATCAGGTTTCTTTTCCGTTTCTATTTAAATTTAATGATTAAAATGATCTCATCAGTGCTACTGTTACGATTAAACAGGATAATACATTATTATTATTATTATCATTATTATTATTATTATCGTTATTATTATTATCATTATTATTACATAGATTCGATTATTACAATAGATCGGTGTTAATTACGTAGTCAACTATGAGACACTGGTTGAATTTCTATTTGTAATCTTTAACATTTTATGAGTGGGATTCTGTCAAGAAGCGAATTATTTGATGAAAGCGCTTTCAGACGTATGATTCCTGGAACGAACCCCTCCTTAACGTATACTGCGCCTGTTAGATTATATATGTATTTATATATTGTGCAAATGAATCAGAAAATAATATTACTAGGATTCATTAAGTAAGCGTAACTTGATGTTGAGTGGACAAAAACGTACTTTCATTGAGGAAGGTCGGGAACTGGTTTTATTAGCGTGGATTTCCAAACCGAATCAGATGAAGAGTTTGATCTTAAGCACCGCTTCATAAACTAATCAGGTGTAACTAAACTATAAGGCCAAGTCAATAATAACTTTATGATTTAGAAGCCAATTTTCAGTTAATGATCACAGAGTCCATATAAATCGAAAGTATCTCACCTCAGAAGTAATGACATACGTAAAACTCTTTGTTCTGTAATTTTTATTAGATTTTCTTGGCTTATTATCGGTTTTCCATCTGAATATCATTTATGTGAGTGATAATAGATTCACACGAAAGGTTTTTTACTGAATTTTCCTCATAACCATAACTGTTTTTATCGGAAATTTATCATAATGTACAAAAGTTTTATGAGTAAATTCGTCGAAGTATAGCGAGATGAAATTATGTGACAACTATATGAGAAATTCAACAGTATAAATCTTCACTCATTTTAGCATTCTTACTTCATTGGCTCGTCTATTGTTTAATGAATTGATGAGGCTATTTGTTTAACCCTAATGTAAACAAAATAAACTAACATGAAATCGCATCGATTTACATGTTACGTAGAACTTAGAAAGAAGTGAACATTTAATACGTTCATCACTCATTTTCATAACATGATCGTATAGTGTTCTTAATTGACTTTTCATGTGATTTGATATAAGGAGACGACGCATCTTAGCGTTCGGAAAATGTTTTCTTTCATGGTTTTAAATAATTTGATATTTATCACCAAGTACAGGTCTATACTATGTACTCGGCTTTGACTTATTATATTTCTGTGGGGGCTAATGATACCGCTCGATTTTCTCAACTGAAATTGATGGAATGAGGTTTGATTGAACCTATGAATAATTAGTTAAAAATCAAGTTCTTTAGGTATCAGGCTACCGTTATAAACACTCTTGTATGTGCTTATAATTGATTATCTTTCATATAGAACATTTTTGCTTTATCAGTCATATTTGTTTCTATCAGAATAGTTTTCAGAATCGATACCTTTCGTTCATTTCTTTTGACTCTATTCCAATCAATATCAAGAAATTTATAGATTATGTTCATTTTATAATCGGATGATACCTTATTTTTCATTTCTCTTCTATCATTTGTCTTCTTGTTTGTTATCATCTCACGAATTCTCAGATGTCTATATATATATGCATTTGTATCGGCATGTCTTCTTCTGTTCAATTAATTATAAAAATAATTGAGGTCATTCACATATTCAAGCGGTTTTATGGTGGTTTTTAACAATTTTTTCTTGTATTAACATTAGTTGACGAACCACTGAGAATAAGGTTGATATTAAGTTACGTTCCCTTTAAAAAATCAGTAATAGTGGCCCAGATACACTTAGTCATTATCCTACCCTTTCATATTGATTAGCCAATGTAACTAATTTACCATATGTAGATTAATGTTTTCGTCTTCGGGCTACATCATAAGAGATTATCACTACCTGGTCTCGTGGATCGAATTAAGGGGGGAGGGTTCGAAGGTCTCTGGATTCATTATGTGTTTGTTTTACTTGATACATTAGTTCATCATCACTTAAAAAAGTTAAGCTTATAGTAATTAAAGTAAGTGACAGTATTGTGTACCTTGCGTATTGATTGACTTTTAAAGTTGAACTATTCAAAGGTATTCATATGAATTATAAAATTGGCTTACACTATCTATCCGTCAAAGCATTGCCGATAATTCCAAAAAATTAAAAAAAGGTTCACTTAACACGAGCCTCAAGCTTCCAATAATCATTACTGACTGATAAGTTGTGAAACCTGTTCATTTTTTCTATAATTCTATCGCTGCAAAATATTAAAGTTTAAATTATCAGTATAATCACACTACTGTTATTACTATTCAGTTTTAAATAAACAAGAATTGTTTCAAGCATGCTTGTATGTGTATAGTGATGACTAAAGTAAATTTAAATATGAATTCACTGCTTAGATTACCGATACAATTAATTTTTACTGGAAGGAAAATATTTATTACGTAACTATGTTAGCTGGCATACATTTACTTACGACTCACTGGCGTCATACGGACAGGAAAATCTGTTTCGTCCTGGTTTCGTATTCTTTAATACACTACAAATGTCATTATTCGCCGTGGTAAACGAAGATCATGGCCTCCATCTTATGTTGGGTTGTAGGTGTGGATAGCTAAGGAGTGACAAACTAGTGGGAAAAGGTTGTCATGTTCTCCTTAGTTTTCAACAATTTTCCTACTGTGATCTATTTACTCACGAGTATCAAATCAGTTGATTATTTTCTCATATTTCCATAAATATTAGTGTAATTTATTTATCAAACACAAGTCAGTATACTCGATTATGAGACGCACTGTATGAGAGCTAATGATATAATATTCAGTTATCCAGACTGAAGTAGATAAAGTGAACTCATGCAGTTTAGTGGTAGAAAAAACAACGAATTGCAATAAACGAAATATGTGTAAATTTACGGGGAGTGCGAGAGCAAATCTATATTTCTTCCTTTTCTGTTATGTAAAAAAATTTCTCAGTATATATTTAATCGATGTAAATGTGATTTTTACTGAAACTCTTGACTACATATTATAAGTTATTTACTAAATTCATATGAAGAAAGAAGGGTGGATTGGCATCTATTTTATTTCTAAAAGTTGACTATATGAACAATGAGTTTAGTGAACATTTATCAAGTTTCAGAAGGTAATATCTTTTCCACTTATCGTTTTTCTCCAAAATACATAAGATAAAATTGAAAATTAAACTATGAAATGATAAACTGAATTGCCTACT